GCATTTCCTTGCTGCAAGGTAAAACAGCAGTGCTTGAATGTCACACACAGTTGCTCAATATCAAGAAGCAATTTGGGTATTTTGGAGGGCATTTTCTCTACTGATGAAAGTGGAGATAACAGAATTTGGTTATGAACAGCAGTAAGAGACATTTAAAAAGCAGTGGTAAACAAAAAAGAATGATACAGTTGATTCTCCAGTTTCAATTGTAAGAAGTTGATATTCTGAAAGGAAACTGGGGAAAAGTAATACAGGTGGGATACTTGTCAGAGGCCAAAGGTCTCGGCGGGAAAGGATAAAAGTTGCAGGCGGTATTGAAGACATTCCTGTAGAAGAATAGAGCAGGGTGGGAGATGCAGAACTGTCAGAAAAGATCTGGACATATTGAGAAGTGCAAAGTCACAGGTTGTTTGTAAGGAAGGGGATCAATGGGTGAAAGAAGGAAGCTTCAGAAAAATGGAGGAAATAAAGAAGAGGACACATGAGTCTCTTGCAGTGTTGGGAGTGGGGGATGCGAGCTCCTTGGCAAGAAGAGTGGTGTGAGTTGTATCAGAACTGTCCTGCTACAGTAAGTGGAACAAAAGGACACATGGTGGGAAATCACCAGAACTAATACCAAAATGACAGAAAAACAGTTACATTGAGATTAGCAAAAGGGCTGGGCAGACAGACAGCAGGCAGGAAACAAAGGATTTACAGAGAGAGGGTGAGTACAGCAATAGTGTGCTGGGAGGAGCCCTGAGAGGTCACCTTGCTTCAAAGCACGCCAGTACCTCCCTGTAGATAGCAATACTGGTGTTTTCTGGAAGGTGACACTTCATGCAAAGACTATGCTTAATCAGTCCCAGGTCAACGGAATGGCCAGGAACAAGCAACTGGAATGGGAGTACACAAATGCCAAGAGCCTGGGCAACACAACACAGGAACCTGAACAACTGGTGCATGTTGTCAGACCAGATGCTGCAAGCATGCAAGAAAGAGGGTGGAATGGGAACTGTGACTGGAAAACAGGTGTTTTAAGGAATGTATTAGCCAAGAAAGAGAAAAATAAAAGGTAATGGCTCTAGAGTAGCAATTAGTGACAAGCAGCTTCATAAACAGATGAATAAATAAAATGAAGGTTAGCCAGTAACCCAAAAGACATCATAGTAATTAAAAATACTTTTAGGATACAGTTCCACCTTTGAAACCCCCTTTGAAAGGGGTTACTATACATAATGCAGCCTGCTGTAGCAATAATTTGAGGAGTCTCATGCTCCTAGGTGGACAGAGACATAAGATGAGATAATAAGGCAGAAGAGAGAAAAATAAGTGTATAAACAACAAATCACAAGTAAAGGAGCAGGTGCCCATCCAAAAATCATTTTCAAAAAGACAAGGGCTGCATCTCAAAAGCCAAGCTGGCACTGAGAAAGAAACTGCCTAGGACAGATGATTAAGTTTCACTGAAAGACAAGCAGCTAGCCAAGAACTCTCTGTCTGGCATGCTCCACTGTGAAGTAATTTCAGAAACGTTCTGGATTTTTGTACTAAAGTATAAATGTTTTTCTAAGAAGTTGCAGTTCCTGAAAGGGAACTGCACAAAGAAATCCTATGCCATTGAATCTTTCTGCTTCAGGATAAGCAGGGTTCACAAAGCAAACTCCAGTCTCACTCCTCAGATGCTGATTACAGATCACCTGCAGCCACTACTGAGGACAAACACCCCAGACCTCCACAAATGTTTTACTCAATGCATCAGAAGTCAGAAGACAAATGCACAAAGAAAACCAGGTGCTCTAAACCTCCAACAAATAGGGCACAATTATATTAGTTGTTTCCTGATCCCTGATTCACTTGGCAAATTTCAGCTACTGCTTTTAAAAACTGGACGGATTAATTTTATATTTTAACTCCTTAAATTGCAGCTCCTGCTACCAGCGAATGTCAATTTCGAAATTCGGACCAGAGAGAGTGAAAATTACTCCAGCCGTCATATGTCATGCTGTAATTTGGTGGCAGTCGCCGCAAGGAGAAGCAGGCTGCACCAAACCACGGTAAGAGGAGGATGCCAGGCACTATGGGGACAAGTCAGTGGCTGACAGAATATCCAGCAGTGGTGGAGCACATCTGCTTCTTTTCTGTCAAACAAATGTGTATGTGTTAATGAAAGGTGGTGCACGCTGTGAACCTGCACCAGCATAAGGAATGGTGATGGAGAAACACACAAGGCACACCTTCATCAAAATGTCCAGCACACAGCTGATAAGCCAGGTGACATGATGGATGAGCAGCTGGTTCACAGGTCAGGTGCAAAGAGTTGTAGTGAATAGGGCAACATCAGGCTGGCAACCTGTCACTACTGGCGTTCCATCTTTGGAATTTCTTTTCAATATCTTCATTAAAGACTTGGATGTGGGACTCAAAGATATACTAAGTAAATTTGCTGACAACACCAAATTGAGAGGACCTGTCAACTCCTTTGAGGGCAAAGAGGCCCTGCAAAGGGATGTTGACAAATTAAGAGAGATGGGCAATCACCAAATGTATGAAGTTTAAGAAAGGTAAATGCCAGATTCTGCACCTGGGGTGGGGCAATCCTGGATGTACAGACAGCCTGGGGAACGAGAGGCTGGAGAGCAGAGACACAGAAAGGAACCTGGAGGTCCTGGTCAGTGGAAAGTTGAATGTGAGTCAGGAATGCCCTGGCAGCCAGGAGGGCCAATCCTGTCCTGGGGGGCATCAGGCACAGCATCACCAGCTGGGCAAGGGAAGGGATTGTCCTGCTCTGCTCTGAGCTGGGGCAGCCTCACCTCGAGTATTGTGTGACATTTTGGTCACCGCTATATAAGAAAGATACAAACCTCTTAGAAAGTGTCCAGAGGAGGGCCATGAGAATGGTGAAAGGCCTTGGGGAAAAACTTTATTAGGAGCAGTTGAGAAGAAAGGAAGAGACTGAGGCAAGACCTCATGACTGTCCTCAGCATCCTCACAAGGAGCAAGTATAGATCTCTTCATTCTTGTGACCAGTGACAGAACTTGAGGAAATGGCATGAAGCTGAGTCAGGACAGGTTTCTGCTAGGTATCAAGAAAAGGTTTTTCACCCAGAGAGTTGCTGGGCACTGCAACAGGCTCCCCAGGGAAGTGATCACAGCACCAAGCCTTCATTAGTTCAAGAAGCATTTGGACAATGCTTTCAGGCACATGGTGTGATTCTTGGGATGTCCTGCTCGGGGCCAGGAATTGTACTCAATGATCCTAATGGGTCCCTTTGTTGCCTTTTTCCCAACCTGGAAATGAAACTCGAGGTAATTTTAGTAAGGAGGTAATACAAAAGAGGATCTTTCATGAAGGCCTGCAGGGGCCTTTCCTTTCATGGAAGGATGTCTACAAAAGCCCACCCCCTCCAGGGGTGAGTACATTTTTATAGGTTTTAGGAAATTAGCATAATTGATTAAAAGTACTAATTAGAAGGACAAGTGGTGATACAATTACACACACAC